GAGAAAATAGAGAAGAAACTGACAGAAAAATAGATGAGCTCAGGACCATGATAAAAGCCATGAAGGCCCAGCAGAAGAAAGAAATGGAAAAAATAAACGCCCAACATAGGAAAGAAATGGAATCCATAAAACAGATTCAAACAGATATCCAGGAGATTAAACACTCTATTGAAAGTGTATGCAACAGAATAAAAGAATGCGAAAATAGGCTCTCAGATATAGAAGATAAGATTGCAGTCAGTGACCATGAAAAGAGAGGTCTCTTAAAAACAGTAAGAGATCTGTTACAGGCTAGTGCTTTTTCTAGAAATTTCAAAGCAAGGTGATACTTTCTGTATAGTCCCTTGTTCTGAAATTCTGTTTTCTGGCAGTTAAGCTGCTGTGGTGCTTTCAGTGTGTTCACAATGCCAGGGATTTGCTCTTGGCTGTTTCCAGTTCCACTGTAGTGTGTGTAGTGTAGATTTAATTTAAACTCTATGTTGTGACTCTTGTATTTGCAGATTTATGCCCTTTATCAGTTTTCAAAAATTCGCAGCCATTTTCCTTCAAATATTACCTCTTCTCTATTTTTAATAGCTTTATTGACATATAATTAATGTACTAAATATTATCTCATTAAAACAGATAATTCAGGGGTGGGGATTTAGCTCAGCAGTTTGGTGGCCTGCCTTGCAAGCGCAAGGACCCGAGTTCAGTCCCCAGTAACAACAACAACAAAAAAGATAATTTGGTGGTTTTAATATCTTCCTGGAGTTGTCCAACCATTACAGTCAATTTCCAAAGATTTTAATCACCTCTTAAAAGAGACATTGAAGCCATTAGCATTCACTTCTCTATTCCTTTTAAGCCTTTCCTCACAAATCACAACAGATATCAGAAATCACAACAGATATCAGAAATTAAAACAGTATTTTTCTGTTTTTGATCCACATTTGGTTCATCAGGACAGGAACACAGCTTGCCTGATGGAAAACAAAATCCATCAGGCTTGAAAGCTAAATGTAAAAGGTTACTTGATACAGCAGTTTTAGCTAGAACTTCTAAAAAGTCACCTGGGAGTGATGGAGAAGGGGAAGAAGTAGGGACTTTTCTGTGACTGCTGGAGATACTGATGAGTAATTAAGCAGGACCACACACAACAGCATAAAACAGAACAGCTGTGTGTGCCATGCAGGGACCCTCGCCTTTCACATGATCTTAGCCAAACAGCTGAAAAGCACTTAAAAGCTTGTGCTATCTATGATGGAAAAATATCAAGTCAGAGGGTTCTGCAGAAAAATTCTTATTGTCCATTTTACTTTCTAACTTCTGATTTAATTATCTCTTCAGGTGTCTACTTACTATAGGAAGAATGTGATTAGATATTTATTTCTTAGGTGATGTAAAAGTAAACTTACTGAAAACTAGCTCTAACTCTTCTATACATATGTGACTCATAAATACTTGAGAACTCGTGGGAAGATAGTATTTAATATGAAATTAAAGTTACATTTTCCTGTACTAAATTATCCTTTCTTCTTTGTAGAAAACTCATGAATCATTCAGAACAAACAAAAACAAAATCCTAAGAGCCAATTAAATGCCTGGACCTGTCAATGTTCCATTTAATCAGAATGACTGCAAGTTTAAAATAGAGAGAGATAAAGGTCCAGAAATACGCACAAGATTTCATCACTTTCATGAATACAAAAGTAATGGGGACAATTTAAAAAAGCAAACTAAAAACCTTTTTTAGATGGCAGGCATTGTACAAGTACAAAATCAGTTTCCTAAAAGGTATCATTAATGTTAACAATCACAGAGTTTATTGTCAGCAGAGAAAAGCATAAGTTGATCGTTTTGACCTGTCACGAGGTCAGCATATTTCCCATTGTGTGATGTAGAAGCTGTAGAATTTTACCATCCTTTGGCTGTCAAAGCTTGATTGTGAGTGAAAATATGACAATATTCATGACTAACCATGTACCCTGTCCATCAATACTTAATACTAAGTGGTTCTATTGTCAGATCCAAAAAAAGTAAAAATACATTTAGGTAGAGCTTGTAAAGAGCTAGTTTTTAAATGCTGGCCAGCCCTTCTTAAGATTGTATATTTAAGCATCAAATAAAGGGATTTATTTGATTTCACAAAAAAAAAACAAAAAACAAAAAAACATAAGAGATCATGAGAAATCGATCCAACAACTCCTAGATGATGCAAAGAAGAATAACATAAGA